GGAAGAGGGAAGGACCAGGATGCGGTCTAAGTAGCCCGCGTTTGCTGGAGAACGGCTCACCCCTCTGTCAGAGAGACCATGACTCATCCCAAAACTATCTGATATGAATGGCAGTTAATACTCAAAGCCCCTTCTCAGCCAACTCAGCAAGCTTCAGTCCAGCTCCAGCCTTTGCATTTTAATTGCTGGTCACAGGACCACGACTGTGCCGAGGCCCTCCTTACCCTCCCAAGACACACCACTCCCCCACCCCCACGGGAAACGCACAGCCACCTCAGGAAGAGAAACAGTCCACCTTGCTCCGCGAATACAGCCTCACCCTCATCCATTTTCTTTATTTTCCCAGCAGCCTGTAGCATTCGAGGAGACCGCAAGGCCTCTGACAACTGTGGGGCCCACTCCGCGAGGTGCTGCTGCTCTGACCTTAATCCAGCTCAACGTGCTCTGAACTCCACAGGGTCCGCTAAACCCGGCTCCGCTGACCCCTTTGTCCTCATCTCCCACAGAGCCACACCCAGCTCGGCCATGCTGCCCACCTCCGGGGCAGCCTCAACACGGTGACTCTTCCTTCGAGCGGCGAAGGGTCTCACCATCTCCTTGCACAGCATCCCAGGAAGGCCTGGGCCACCCCCAAGTTGCACATTTCGCAGCGATAATGCCAAACTGGCCTACATATTGTGCAGGTCAGGTCTTGCTGCCAGAGGAGCAGTTAAAATAAAAGATCAGTTTTCAGAGTCTTTGGATTTGAGAATGGAACATAAGAGACCGCGGGCCTAAAAACTAAGCAATGACAAGGACGCTGACAGCAGATAAGGTGGCTATCTGATGAGTACGCACTATTGCGCTCATATTTCACGTGTGATAGTCCTTGATTTTCCCAATAATAACCCAACGAGATGCTGTTGTTCAGATGAGGAAGCTGGAGCTGGAGGTTCAGTGACTTGCCCGTGGTCACGGAGTCAGCAGAGGCTGCGCATGCCCTCAAGCCATGCTCTGAATACTTCAGACCAGGACTAAAGGCAAACAGGGTGAGAGCCCCCCAAAGTGCGCACGCCCCTGGGAGGGGTTCACAGCTAGTGCCTCGACACCCTTGGTATGGTGGGAGCCAACAGGAGGTGCAGAGAAGCACATGTGCTTCCAGAGAAATGGAAACCAGGACGGTTTCTCCCTCTCTTCACAGCGTGGAAGAGTACACCTCCTGTTAACAACTCACTCTTCCAATCGTCACATGAGCAACCAGGGGGGTATCCAGAGCTTCCAGTCAGGTAGAGAGGGCAGCGCAGGGGCCAACTTCCAAGGACTAGCTTCTTTGGTGAAGAACTGAATAAACAACATTTTAAAAATTCCAAGATCCAAATAGGCCTCTCCCCTCCCACTCAGGAATGGCAGGTATAAACAGCTGCTGAGCCAGGCCTGTGGCCTCACTGGCCACAAACTCTGAGTCCCTCGGAAAAAACGTTGGGCCAATCCAGCCAGAGTCCCGGAGCCAGGATGTGACTGAAACAAGCCCACCTTCCCGTGCTTTCCAAAGCACATTCCTATCGCGAGAAGCATTTTTCTAATCTATGGAAAAACAAGCCCGTCTGGATCTCGATGGCAGCTGAGACATCCAAAAAAATAACAGAGCTAATGACAGATAAGGCCTCAAAAAAAGAGCGCAAGGAGCCGCTGATTTGAGGACCTTAATTCCGACCCCTCTAGCTGGCTGCCAAATCAAACCGGAAACGCGGCTGCTGCCACAGTTTCAAACAAAGATGTCAAGTGTCAAGACAATTCGGGGGAGGGAGGGGTGTCTTTTCAACAAATAGATATCCATAAGCAAAAAAATAAAGTTAGACCCCTACCTCACACTACATATAAAAACTAAAAAATGGGTTGAAGATCTAAATCAGCGGTTCTCAACCTGTGGGTCGCGACCCCGTGGGGGTCGAACCACCCTTTCACAGGGGTTGCCTAAGACCATCGGAAAACACATATATAATTACATATTGTTTTTGTGATTAATCACTATGCTTTAATTATGTTCAAGCTGTAACAATGAAAATACATCCTGCATATCAGATATTTACATGACGATTCATAACAGTAGCAAAATTACAGTTATGAAGTAGCAAATGAAAATAATTTTATGGTTGGGGGTCACCACAACATGAGGAACTGTATTAAAGGGCCGCGGCATTAGGAAGGTTGAGAACCACTGATCTAAATGCAAGAGCTAAAACAATAAAACTCTTCGAAGAAAGTTTAAGGATAAATCTTCATGGCCTTGGATTAGGCAAGGGTTTTCTGGATGACACCAAAGGTACAGGCAACAAAAGAAAAAAGATAAGCTGGACTTCAAAAGAAGAAAAAGGGAAAAAGATAAGCTGGACTTCAAACTTAAAAACTGTTGTGGCCAAACCCGGTTTGGCTCAGTGGATAGAGCATCAGCCTGCGAACTGAAGGGTCCCAGGTTTGATTCCGGTCAAGGGCATGTACCTGGGTTGTGGGCACATCCCCAGTGGGAGATGTGCAGGAGGCAGCTGTTCGATGTTTCTCTCTCATCGATGTTTCTAACTCTCTATCTCTCTCTCTTCCTCTCTGTAAAAAATCAATAAAATATATTAAAAAAAAAACTATTGTGCTTGGAGAGCTCTATATAATGAAAAAGACCACAGAATGGGAGAAAATACTTGCAAATCATGTATCTGGAAAGAAGCTGGTATCCAGAAGACATAAAAAACTCGAACGACTTAACAATTAAAAAATAAATCCCAAATTAAAAATAAGCAAAGGATTTAGTTCTCCAAAACAGACAAACAAATGGGCAGTAAGCACAGGAAAAGATGTCCAAGCCCGGCCGGTGTGGTTCAATGGTTGAGCCTCAACCTATGAACCAGGTCAGGGCACATGCCCGGGTTGTGGGCTCGATCCCTAGTAGGGGGTGTGCAGGAGGCAGCCAATCAATGATTCTTTCTCATCATTAATGTTTCCATCTCTCTCTCTCTCTCCTCTCTGAAATCAATAAAAATATATTTTTTAAAAAGATGTTCAACACCACTAGTCAATAGAATATGTGATGCGCACGTGAGACCTGTTCATTAACCCCCTCACTCACACATCCACCCACCTACCCACCCAAGTGTTTTCAGGCTACGAATTATGTACCAGATTCAACGCTGGAAGTATAAAGATGAGTAAGAGCAGTTCACAACTCTCAAAAGCGCTAGAGCCTGAGGGGGGATATAGACTGTAACCACATGAACGCAATGCAACACAATGATAATATCAGAAGTTAACACCTCAACATCTGTATCAATAATCAATGAGGTGGAAATCATTATTTCGCAATGCAACACAATGATAATATCAGAAGTTAACACCTCAACATCTGTATCAATAATCAACGAGGTGGAAGTCATTATTTCTATTTAGCAGTGAGGAAACCGAGGGACAGCATAGTCAAGTACTCTCCCCTAAGCCATAGCGCCGATAAGTGAGAAGCCGAGATACGAACCCAGAGAGTGGCTCAAAAGCCTGCACTCTGGTGTGCTGATCTTTCACTGGGGAGGGAGGTTGGGAAAAGTGTCACAGACTCAGGAGGTGGTGACTACACAGAGTCTTAGAGGGGGACTTGGCCTCTGCAGGCCAGGGGGAGGGGTGGGGTTAGGGAGTGGATATTCTAGGCAGAAGGAAGAGTAAGATAGAGATGTGAAACAACACGACACATTGAAGGAATCGCTTGATATGGCTGCTGATGAACAGCCCTGCGGTGGCAGGAGCCTAACCCCGCAGAGCCCCGTGTGCCACATGAGAAATGGTGGCCCCTGGAAGG